CGGTCTTGTACTGATATACTCACTCGAGTTCAAATATGAACATTTTTGGCATTGTCCGGCCTCCCCGCAGTATGGACTCAACACCATTTTACCATCTACCATCCTGTTACTTTTCGGGCCACATTCCTAGTGTTTGTCCCTCATAGATATCCCCATAAATATCCCCATAGATATCGTCAAGTTGTAGTTCGCCTTCAATCTTGTCGTATAGGCAAAGAAAACACCACGAAAAAACTCACACAAACTCTTGTGGGGGGGGGGGGGAGACCCCCCGGTGATAAGGAGGTTAGACGCTAGACCCCCTTTAGCAAAATAACCTAGTCGCGTCTATGTATTAGCATACATTTCGACAGAAAGCACTCTCTAGTTTTTTAAAGAATGCGAATGTGGAGCGGTTTATCTCATTCTCGTCCATATAGGCTAGCGGTATCCCTGAACTTTCGGGATAAACGCTACCGGACACCGCCTCAATAGAGGGCGTAAACTTGCATTGTTATTTGACACTTTTACACCCGGATTTTGACGGATTGGAATTTTAAATAGCTTTCTTTTGAAGCTGCATTTTTTAACTGGAAACTTTAAGCCGATATACCTCTGGTTCAGTTTGACATTTTTGGGCGTCATGTTTCCTGTAATGTTCTCAGAACATTCGTTAACGCCTCAATCTTCTGTTATCCCTAACTTAAGTCTGAGTTTTTTTTTTTGAGGGAAGTCCCTTATTCCATAAACGGTCACACACACAGTCATGCTCAGGAGAATGCCGCATAAGCATTGACGTTTTGAAAAAAATCCAACAATACAATTTTTGAGGAAAGGTATGAATTTTTGTCCACGATTTCAAGTTGCGAATCAAGTTTTCTCAACAGTTGGAATACATGCGTTCTTCAGTTTTCTCGGAAGTTCGTATTTTATTAAAGGAAATATGGCAACGTCTGGAGGTTCTCTCGAGGATTTTCTTTGCCTTGGCAGTAGCTCGTATTCGATACATCAAACAGGTGAGATTGTATCGGCATCGATTGGTTCAATATGTAAACATAGCTTCAAAAGTCAATTTAGACATCTGAGATAACGGGTCGTGTGATCGAATTTTTATTCTTTCGAGTATCAAATGGCAAGGAAAAGCGAAATTGATAGGAAATTTCGCATTATCAGCTTTTCCAGTTTTAATTCTGAAATTTTTGTTTGAGGTTATGCTCTATTGTTTTGAACCAAACGATACATCGAATACGAACAATCGATATCAAATGACCTCGATCGAGAAAAAGCATTGCTAAGATAGGGATTTATCGATCAGGATCATTCGATAACAATTCAACAATCGACCCGCTGGATTTTTTAGTATCCAGTATGCCAGCATCAATAGTACTATGAAGAATAAAAGATTCGCTGGATAATTTTTACTTCTGAAACAATTAAAAACAAAACTTGAAAAAAACTTGCAAAACTTCATGGTCGCACGCATGCACTGCTCTCTTCGGTAGCAAACACAGAAAGGAAACTCAACACAAAAGTTTGGGTAATACGAGGAGTAAAACACAAAATAACCCAAATCCTCGGTCGTCTCTGTGGTTTCCCAGCCACTCCATTGTTTTCTAACCTAAATTCACTGCTAATTTATTGTAATCTTCCGTCACACTCCTAAGGCGCAATGATACAACTATTTGAACTCTCCGGAATGCGTGAGGTATCACGCCACATTTGAAGGCGTTTTCAAAACAGCCAAGTTCCGATACCCGGATTATTGTTTTGCATAGTTCCTATTATTATGTTTTATTTCCTACCATTTGTTTGTTTTCAATCCTCCTATAAAAATTACTCATTTGCTGAATGCACTTCTGGCTGGAGCGCATTTTAGCTATGCATTCACCACTGCAAAAATGTCAGAGGAAATCGACAAAGCCAGCGTGTATAAGGCTATTTAGATTGTAAACTTCCGTCGCATTTCTAAGGCGCAATGATACAACCAGTTGAACTCTCCGGAATGCGTGAGGTATCACGCCGCATTTGAATGCGTTTTCAAAACAGCCAAGTTCCGATACACGGATTATCGTTTTGCATAGTTCATATTCTTTTGTTATATTCCGTACCACTTGTTCATTTTTATTCCTCGTATAAAAACCACCCATTTGCTAAATACAATTCTAGCTAGAGCGCACTTCAGCTATGCATTCACCACTGCAAAAATGTCAAAGGAAATCGACAAGCCCAGCGTGCATGAAAGCTATTTCAATAATTGTACCTAAATCAACACAAAATTGGGGTTGGTTTGTATTTCACTGTTTATCAACCAAAAGTAACACAAAAACACAAATATTTTGATCAATTCAGCAGCAATCTAGGAAATAAAAATCAGGATGATGGTAATGCAAGTAACCCATTTTAATTTTATCCAACGTGTTTCTCACAATTTTAAGCTTCAAAGGTAATTTTTTCGTCCCAGACTTTTCCGACCGCTCTTTCAGTCCTGTCCTCGATTTTTTCACTCGGTAATAGAATGTGCGTGGGGTTAAGAACTGAGCTCATACAATTTAGACCGCCGCAGCTGTGTGAAATGCCCAATTCGTTCGAAATGAAGTCCAAAGATCTGAAACTACCAAAAAACAAAAAAACAAAAAAAAGCGAATAAAAAACTTCGAACTCCACAAATGCCCATTTTTTACCGAGGTTTACCTTTCGATGAATTCGGATACAGTTTTCCTGGAATGGTTTAACTTTCCGAAATTTTTTGACGATCGAGAGACGAGGGGAGTGCGTCAGCGTGCGCTTTTAAAATGATAATTCCTGTCAGAGCGACCGCGAAGTCGTTAACTCCGCTGTGAGTTCGGAAGAAAAAATTTGACTTTACTCTGAATCCAACGTCAGCGGGGCCTGTGCTGGACCGGAAAACCTGAGAAAATCCATGTAAAATGTTTTGATCCGGAACTTAAAATAGGGATGTTTCAGGGAAATATTTGACGTTGGCTAGACAGACTATTCTCGATCTTTTGACGTTTTTACCGTCGTTACTACGTTAGATTTTTGAAAATTTCCTCTTCGATAACCGTCAGGTAAAATTATAAATTAATGATAAAAATTTCTCCTGTTTTTAGGCGTTTCAGTAGATTTCGAGAAGAAAATGAAAGATTTTTTCGTCATTTTGGCCCATAGACGAATCCACACACTTCAAACGGGAGGGATGGAGGGGGGGAGTTCGGGAGGCTTCCCCTAGAAAATTTTTCTTTTTAATGTCCCAAAATCCAGAAATTATTAATCGATAAATCGATTGTCAAATCGTCACCTTGAAAGCCCGGTTTCTTCACCGCTGGTTGGAATTAAGCTCTCATTCAAACCTTTGACGTTATTTTTGAGGATTTTAAGGCTTGTGTTACACAAATATTTTGCGGTTTAGATGATATTTTCGGTTCTGGTGAGACATTTTTTAACGAAGAATCTTAATCTCTGGTTAAAAAACTGGTACTCGGAGTGCGTGTCAAATTTTAACCAGAGGATAAATCCGTCGTAGTGGATTGCATTTTGCAGTAAGGAACCACTAGCTCTGGTTCTCGTATAAAAGCACATATCTGCATAGGGAAACCAATGGCATGTATGTTGTTTCTAAAATGGGCGGGAAGTAGTGGTTCCTTACTGCAAAATGTGGCCCAAATGATCGTCAAGGATATTGCTGAAATGGAAGGATGAAGAAAGTGATCAACCAAAAGGAGATACCATCATACCACTGAGAATCGGTTGAGAACTCGCTTTGTGATTCTAATAGGCTCATTACGTACGTAAACTGATATTGTCCTCACGCGGAATTTTCTCGGTTTTCCTTGTGGCTTCGAGTTGTTTCATTGGTGCCCGTAGCCATCGACGCGGACGCCACATAAACAAATTTTTCAGACGAGGCCTTTTTCAATCGTGCGGCGAACAGAGTAAACAACGCCAACAGTCACAGACAGTCCACCGAACCGTACACATTTTTCCAGTAATATACTTGCTTGGATTGTCTTGTTCACACAACCGTGATGCAACAAATTCCACAAAAAAAGTATATTTTATACGATTTTTGGGGATTGTTTTTATTTTTATACAAAACAGAATCTGTTCACTGGATTCCTGATCACATTTCGATTACATTTTGCAATGAGGAACCACTATCTCTGGTTCTTCAATAAAAGCTTCCTCCTGCAAAGGGAAACCAATGGCACATAAGTTTTTCCTAAAATGATCCAGAAACAGTGCTTCCGTATTGGAAAATGTGGTCCATTTTAATCCTCAGGAAACATAAAAATCAGAACTAGATTTCCGATAATGCTTATCACGGGGCTTGTAAAAGCAACCAGACGGCAACCAGATCGACACTGACAAAATTCTGGTACTGGTCGCCAGATTTTATGCCATTAATTTGCCAATGCAGAAAGGTGCTTTTATGGAAGAGTCAGAAATAGTGGTTCCTTATTGCAAAATGCAGTCCAACTCTTCGTTCCATACCTACTCTAATTTTTGTTTATCCGCATATAATCTCCCATGAGAAATTTTTGATCATATTCCTCCTCCAGTCCTCCTCCCTCCCCCGCCCCTTCCTTGACAACTTCAACTTCGTCCTCTGGAAAAGAGACTTCCGTTAAAATTAAGGAACTCCGATGCATTCATGACCCTCTTAAGTTGTGCTTTCGACATGAGGCTCATTATGCCCAACTCCATACTCCATCACCTTATATCTCTGGTTTTCCTAAAATGATAAGTAAAACAACAGATGGATGCTTTTTACCTTGTTCTGACTGGGGGTTATGTAAAAATACCCAATCCGCAAGTTCCACGCCTCGTCGATGCACTCGTTTTCCTTAGGAGCAGTTGAGGAAAAATTCCTCACAAATCGTACTTTTTCCGGACTGAGCTGAGCTGAGTTGACATTACGAATTCAAACAGTTCGTTAGTCTCATACATCAAATTTCGAGTTGAAGGGTCGTCCTTTCCTGTATACTCTCGCATGTAACTCAAACTCAAACATCAGTGTTCACTTCAGCAGTAATGAAGTCTACACGGCAGAATCGTGATACCGATCCCACTATGATTATTCTAGATATTTCTTATTTTCTAGACTCGGATCTTCAAAATTATTTTCGGATCGCCTCAGAATCATGCACTGGAAAAAAAAAGAAAAAAAGAAAAAAAAAAAAAACACATTGGATCTAGAGTCCAGACTCTTAAAAACATCAGCAAGAAAAAATACTCTTGATTCAATCGGATTTTTGCCTAAATCAAGAACCAAGCCTCTTAATTTGAACAGATTTCCTTTTGATTTAAGCTTAAATCTGATAGAATCAAGAGTCCTTTTTCTTGTCAATGTTTTCAAGAGTCTGGACTCTAGATCCAAAGTGTTTTTTTCCAGTGTGCATTTTTGCACACTTCACTACATTTTCCACGCTGCGATTTTGGAAAAGTCACCGTAGGCAATCTCGTTAAAAGCATGCATTCGCCACAAAAAAGGTGTGATGGTCTTTGACTCCCACATCAAATGCAGGTCTTTTTCCGTGCAGATGATTTTCCAAACTTGTCTGTATAGAGTTGTAATTTTTTCCCTAGCTGCTAATTGCAAATGTTATGTTAAATTTTTTTGACGCTGGTGTGTCAGCTACCTGAAACACCTAATGTATGCGCCAAAGTAAAGAAGAAGTAGGAATTGAACACATTTAGACGTCTGGACGTCAGAACGGACTAGACTTTTTTCTAGAAAAAAAGTGTGTAAAACTTTCGTGTACGGGAACGTACGATGTTCAAACGGTGCCTTTCCTTCAATAAAATAAAACATCTCCGAGGAACTTTTAAATATTTTCCCTCCAATCTCTGCGGTAATGTTTCTCGCATTTTAAACTAAAGTATCTTAAAAATTTCAAGAAAAATAAGTGACGTTTTTTCAAGTAAAGAAACTTGCCTCGAAAGTAAGTAGTAAGTATATTATTGAAGAACATTTGGCAACATCCAAAAATTCGTAACATGTTTTCTGTTAGCACGGCAGATTAGTTTAGGAAGAGCCAATTCTATTATCCATATTATCTATATCTATTATCCAATTGTATATCTATTATCCAATTCTATAATCCACTCTACAATCGGATAGTCTCTTAATTGAAATGCCCAATGCAGATAGACTCGTTTGTATAAGTGCGGCTACAACCGGACCCCGTAAGGAATCACCACATGAGTACTTTCCTACTCGCCCTGCACCCACCAAGATATACTTCGAATTACCTTGTGGGTGATTTTGCATAATTCAGTCGTTGAAGGCGCTTTGAATGCACCGTTCTCGTTTTACATCACTATTAGCCATCATCAGCCCATCACTGAAGCCTTTTCTGAGGTCGTCTGCGATAAATCTGAATTAAGTTTGAATATTTCCTCGTTTTGTGCGCCTTAGGTGCTTCTCTCTGTTCAATCATTTCTGCAAGCGCTTATCATGCCAATCGCCGATCGATCTTTTACTTTTTCCTCCTCTCCCAATCAGTGATATTGAGGTTTTGATGACGTGTTCATCTGGGCTAATAATTCGGACGTTTCTAGGCCGAAACGCACAACATATTGCAACGTTGCCATCTCTCTAATAAGTGTTTTATTTTTCATTCCTGAACGCGAATAATCGTAGGTCACAACGAATGTTTTATTTTTATAAAAATTAATCAATGAATGCTACCACAATGTGGAAAAACTTGAATTTTAAAAAACTGAATTTTTTCTCAATCTAGGGAGGGGGAGGGGACTGCAAATGGAAAGAAATGTCATATGACAAAAAGTCTTATTTTGACTGAGGGATGGACTTTTGAAACATTCATACTTAATCCTGAATCATCTCGTATAGTCCCGTATGAGATCCTTCTTTTTTATCAACAAAGTCTAAAATTTGGAGATTGTAAGACAAATTACTCTCCTGAATGAAATTATAAACTCTGTAATTTTTATTAAGCGGTTACATGATGGGCCATACGTTATAACGTATGGCCCATCATGTAACCACTTAGTAAAAATTACAGAGCTTTTGACTTGTGCCATCAATGGCTGCATAGAGGCAGAACGTCAACAACTAGGAAAAATATAACGAAATAATTTTTAAAATGACCGTAATTTGCGTCTTTATTTTTAAGTAAAATTTATTTTTATATTTATGGTTCTAATAATTCATTTTTGTTCAAATATTTTTCTACAGATGAACTAGCAAATAAATTCGAACAATGGAAAGTCACACCGGTCAAATTATGGTCGGAACTGGACGTAATGTATTGGATGATGGCAACAGCTGAATCCTTAGGTGTTTCGTTTCAAGAAGTAGCACTAGAGAAGTTCGGTGGCATGTGCGGGGAAAACCTGCTAAGTCTGAGCGAAGAAGATTTTATTGCCTATGACAACCGTTACGGCTCCCACCTTTATGCCAGTCTTAGCGAGTTACGTTCAGAGCCAGAAACAAGTATGAGCTATCAAGGTAGGTTTATAAATACCTTCATTACATTGATTTTACTAGTAAAAGTATGTAGTACAAATTGAGCTGTATTTCCATTAGTTCATGTTCATGATGAATATTCAAAATGGACCTTATCGTCACTGCTGCTTTGTGCCCCTCTTTTATGTGACCAGGGTATATTGCTAATGTTTCGTTGAATTTCCTTGAGACAAAAACAAACACCTTTGGCAGAAAGTATCCCAGAGCGGATGTATAATTACTCTTCTGTCTCGTGCACCACTCAGTCAATGGGAGGGTTAACCAAATTAATTGGTGGAAAGACTCAGAAACCTGTATGTAGTCTCAGGAATAAAAAAAACTTATAAAAACTTACGTATTTGTGAAAATGCAATGATGAAATTAGAATGTTTTGAAACGTATTCAATGAATGAACTAATAAAAAAAATTCAGGACTTACAGATTTTTTTTTCAATCATAGTTGTTACGGAGGTAGTAGGATCTTTCAGAGAAGTAAATAAAACAAAATTCTGTGTTACTGTATTTCAAAATTTTATTTTTTCAGAAGAAGATTCAGACAGTGGTGCAGAAGTAGAGGCTCCTCCTTCAGTGAAAAGGAAACCTGGCAGGCCTCGAACTTCTAACAAGCACAAGAAAAAAAGAGGTAAGTTTGGGAGTAGTCCCACCAAATTTATCAAATATAATGGATCAATTTCTAAAGTCATCAAGGCTTGTATTTCACAATAATGTGTTATTATTTATTTTCCCTCTCAGAAATTCTGAATCTAAACAGTAAAGCCATAACATTGATGACGGGCTTTCAGTACTGAAAATTTATTTTATATTTCCTGTTTGGATAGGCGTAAATTATTTTTGCGTCCTATTCTATGAGTCTTTAACCGTTCTGTCGACCAGCTGACAATGTATTCTTGAACTTACCTATTTTGATAACCTTCTGAAACATATTTATCAACGACTCTGATAAAATATATTTATATTTGCAAAGCAAAAAAGTCAAACATCCTAACATTTTAATTCTCCGCGCTATTTATAAGCTTCTTACCAATAACTTCAACAAAGATTCAAGTTGTGAAGTCCATCACATATTGAAACTTGAAAAGAAACTAAATTAAGTAAAACTGTTTAACAGTTACAACCATATTAATTCTAACTCATCAGGATGGATTTATGTTTTCCTTTTCTTGTTCATGAGGTGTAGAAGAACATTGAAATTCCATCAATGAAAATATTATGTCTTAACAATTTCTTTAAAAAGCAGCCTGTAACATTATTGATCATCATTTTTCTTCTATGTTTTTCAGATCAGAAGCTTGGGCGGCTATGGGAGTTCATTAGAGATTTACTATTTAACGAAAAATATTGCCCAAGTTTTATTTGTTGGGACAACTATGAAGAAGGCACCTTCCGTTTTGTACAAAGCAACCAAGTAGCTAAGTTATGGGGCACAATAAAAGGAAATACCAAGATGAACTACGAAAAATTCAGCAGAGCCATGAGGTAATTTTTTAAGTATTTTATTTTTACTCCCTAATAACATCTCAAGAAGAGTGAAGTTAAATTCCAAGTGAATCGTTTGCTTCAAATAAGGTTAAACTCAGAAAACATGAAATTTTCCTTTAATGTGGGAAAGTCCAATGATCCAATGCATTTTTTTTTTTATTTTTTCTCCCAAATTTTTTTCTTTCATTTGTTATGGGAGGCACAGATTTTGCTTGTCTTCGAAAATGCTCACAACTAAGGTCTAAAAACATTTTCACTATTCAAGGAGCGAAATTTTATGCATCATCGTTTACAGGGCTTTTTGGGGAATTGAATAATGTATGCCTCAAAATGTTCCATGCAATGACTATGTTTGATTGAATTCAGTACACACTGTTTCTCTTTATTTATTTATTTATTATTATTATTATTTTTCTTATATGCATGGTGTAGAGCACTTTTTATAATAGCAATTTAATTAAGATCTGCGCAAAAATTTCCATTTACATTTTTTCTTTTGAAGTGTAGACTTCAAAGTCATCAAAATAGAAATTTGAAAACTAAAGGAAAGATACGGGAACTCACCTGAGACAAAAGATAACAAAAGGAAATGAAGGAAGTATAGTGTTAGTATGCAAGGAAGACTGGAAGAAAATTGATAATATGGTAAAATATGTCTTAAAAGTAAAAGAAAAAGAATTCAATAAGCCCCCTACTAGGATGGAAGTAATGCCAAATGGCAGTTTTAGTGTGTCTTCACCTTGTTGACGAATTATATGTTAGGTAATAAGATAAAGATTACCTTGTCAACTTAACCATTAGATACATTATTGTAATGTAGACTTTTTGAATGAAGTCAGATAAATAAAAAAAAATGTCATTAAAATGTAAAGTTAAAGACGAAAGGTTTAAAAAAAAAAATAAATAAATAAATAAAAATATCATTGATTTTTGTCGTATCAACCAAGTTGTACGAGTTGTCTCCCAAATAACTATGCATACTGCTACCAGTTTACTCGTTTTAATATTATGTTGGAAAAGAAGCTTTATTGTAGAGAGAATGCTAATTAGTCTTTGGATTTGATTTCAGGTACTACTACAAAAGTGAAATATTCCTACCTGTTGAAGGACGCAGATTAGTCTATCAATTTGGTCCCAAGGCAACTGGATGGAAGACAGATGATCCTAACTTTCAAAAATCGAAACTAACCTCCAAGTCAGTCTGATTCAGGGTTGTTGACATTAGGGTAACTAAAGCCTTAAACTGTCCATGACGAAAGAGTTGTAACTGCATCATCATGCAACAAAATCTCTCTGAACCACATTCATTTTTAGAATGAATAAATTCATTACTTTGTTCAAATGAATTACATTAAATGAAACTTTGTAATTGTGTCTTTTACTATAGAAAGTGCTGTCAGAAAGTTTTATGCACAATTACTTTAATGTCTGAATTCTATTTGTTAGTAGCTACAATGTTGCTACACTCCCTCTTCTCGGTGTTTTGATTTATTCAACATTCTTTAAATGGGGAAAAAAACTTTTGGTTAAGTTTTTTGTGAGGAATGATCTCCTCTTTTCCCCTCACTTTTTGGAGCTATAACTGAGCTACCACTCTCTATGTAATATTTTTTATTTTTCATTTTTTTATTATTATTTTATTTTATTTTATTATTTGAGTGATGCACGAATGAAAGAACTTCAAAACCAGCAAGTGAACACAGAACTATGAGCTCATGATGCCCGTAGGCACGACCTAAGATCATAAGTTCAGTGTGCCGAATTTTCCTTTCAAGGGTTAGTGTTGGAGGTCTCAGACTCTAGTGTTGATGTTGATATTGAAAGATAAATTGTAAAATGATCACCACAATTCGAATTGCTATAATTCAATGAAGATAAGTTTGATAGTTCAGAAAATTCCAGATTTTGCGATCTGTGTATCATGGCAAGTGTGAAAAAAATTACTCTTCAAAGGAAATCAATGTAAAAGATAGAGAAATTGGGAAATTGTGATTGTCAACAGGATTCGTGAGACAATGAAAAGTACTTGAAGACCCTCGATTTTTATTCCAATTTTCGAGCCCTTGAAAGTGTTTATTTAATGGAAAGAGTAGTGAAAGTTCTTGAATATCTTTGAATTTTAAAATTAGGCATCTATTTTCTGATAGTTGCAATTTTTCATTCCAGTAAAATTGTTGGTTCTTCTCTCATCATTAGCAGTGAAAAGAATTTTGACCATGCAAACTAGCTATTTTTTCTCTGCTTTCTGAAGGGATATTTGGCCTCTAATTTCTAGTAACTTTGCTCAAATATCTTCAAAAAACTTGCCATAAACCCTGAGGAATCCATGAAAAGAATTCGTATTTTTTATTGTGAGTCCTCAAAAAACTTTTCAAAAGTCCTTGAATTTTGTTTTCATTCATTTTTCTTTTGACCCTGAGCTCTCTCTCACACTTTTCTGTGGAAAGATTTGGCCTTTAGGTCAATTTAATTATCCCTTCTCAATTTAGAAGTATCATCCATCATAACACAAATTGTCAGCACATGCGATGGACCACTTTTCAAACAATGTTAAATTATTTATTGCTCAATATGGAATCACACTCTTTTTTTTTGTCTAGTGTGCTCAAAAATTTTATACAATGATAAAACTATAGAGCGTGTTTTTGGTAGGAGGTGGCTCTCAAAGCAAAATAAATGCTTCCATTCAGCTACCTCTTTGTCAATGCAGGCTTGACTTGTCCAGTCTAATTTATTTTTAGAGCTTATTACTTGTTGTTTTTGTGATGTAAGATTTCTCTGTGATATGTGTTTTTTATGTTGAGAAATAAATATTTTTTATCCTTGTAATGCAATATTTTTCCTCTTTTGTTTGTAACAAATGACCTTAGATTCTGAAAGAATTTACCAATGTAAATGAAATCTCAATAATGAACTACCAAAGATGCTATAATAAACCGAAGTCGTGGTGGTTTTGTAAGGTTCACAGTTCCAAAAACTATTCATAGTTTATTCTGCCATAAAATAAAGTAGAATGGAATTTTTATTGACATTAAAAAAAACTAAACTTTGTGGAGTTTATTCTTTGTGGTGAAACTGGAGTATATTTACCATTGGAAACTAGAATGGAACTCTTGCATGTGTCAGAGATTTGCGATTTGAATACTTTTTCTTTTTTAAAATTCAGAGTTGGGCCAACGATCTTTTAAAACCTTTCAAGAACACTTCTGAAACATTCTCAGAGGATCTATGTGGAAGCATTTACAGTATACTTAGACAAACCCTCATAGAATGGGAAAAAAGATTATGGTTTTTTAAATCACAAAATAGGCACAGAAAAAAAGAACAAAATCTTTCATCATCAAGGTATTTTTAAATACTATTATTCGTGTCACAAAGCATCCTGCAGAGAAATTTGCTGTTTTGAAGACATACTCTAGAAAGCGAATGCATAATGAGGGGAAAAACAGCAATTAGTTTTGAAATTAATGTCATAATATACATAAATACCATCTATCATGAAACAACTAGATATCTATCAGTATATAGGAATTTTCAAGCAACTATCTAGTAGCATTTGCATGTATTTTTTTTACAATTTTCTGGAAATTTTGCAGGAATTCAATGGCGATTTTATTGAGATGAGATTTCGATTTCATTCCAATTAAGTCTTCTTGAAGTCACCTTTTTTTTAAAAAATTTAATAGCGATTAAATACTTATTAATTGAAATTTAATAGCGGGATTTAATATTGAGATCAAGACCAATCCACACAGGTCAGTCATTGCGCATCTTTTTGAAAGCCACTTCCCCGCCCGGCCCTAACTTGGCTGCACTCAATAGTACGTCACATTGGGTGCTCCCATAAGAAATACATTGCAAGCACTCAATAGTACGTCACTGCGCAGTAGAGTACCAAAACTCGTCCACGGGAATGACTGACCTGTGTGGATGGATCTTGATTGAGATAGGGGGGGAGGGAGAGAGATAGAGAGAGGTGCAAAATTTTTAATATTATAAAGCATGATGATTTGATTCAAGTAAACTTTGTCCCTCCATGTGATATTAAAAATATATTGATTCTGTTTTATTTGTACGAGGAATCTATCCGAAGTTCTATACAAAATTTTCGGTTGATTTTTATTGAAAAAGATGAAACACGAGTGGAGACCTGCAATGTCACAAGAGCAATGCCCATTGCCCTCTATCTCTACCCCTACCTTCCCACTCTCAACCTCTAATTTCCTCCTCCCCTCTCATAAAAGTAATATGACAAGGAAATTTTCTTGCAGATGTTATCAGTAGAAACAGATGAAATGATTTATAATTTCAGCTGCTTAAACTTCCGCAGTTTGCAATGGCTATCGCACACTGAAAAAGGCACATTAACATCTCACGGGAGAATTCACTTCATTCAATGAGCACTCAGAAAATTCTGTCTAGTTTATATAGTATGCATCTAGTGATAGTGTAGGTATGTATGTATTGAAAGGAGTTTTCCTGTCATCTTCGGGAGCCTCTCATCAAAAGAGTTACGAAATTTGTAACATTATTCGATCCGCTTGAAAACCCCACTTTTGAACCCCTAGAAAACCTATTAAGTACTTACTAAATTTCAAACCTGTAGAGTGGCATGGAGCGTAAAAATAGAAAGAAGATAAAAATGCCGTGACATAATCATCCAAAGAAAAAAGGTGGTACATCTAGAAATAAAAATAAAACCTGGAACATTTTTGTAGGAATAATGAAGTAAGTACCTAGCATATTTTTTTCAGAACAAAAAGCTCAAGGCACCCAGGAGGATACAAGCAAGCATGTTTTGTTACATTTTGATTGCAGAAATATGGACTTTTTACATTATTTTCATAGACATTTTACCATTAAGAGGCGTTAGTTTAGCATTTCATCGGCGAGGAAATGTCCACTTCATCATTCTCTAACAGTGAGCATTAAGTATTGACAAAAGGTTTTAAAAAAATGCCAAAAGCGCGCCGCGTTCGCCGTGAGAAAGTGCGCGCTTTTTCTGGGATGCGCGGAACTTGAAAAAGGCGCCAAATTTGCGCGGTTCTTTTCTTAGCGAACGCAACGTGATTGGCTAATTTTTTCGTTACGTAGTGAAACATGCTGACCATGCTGATACAGAATCCCACATCTTTCTTTTCTTCTCGAGTAGGCTCTGGTCGTAGTCTAAACTGTGAAATTTTGATGTGATAATGGCGACAGAACGTGAACAATTTCATAAAATTTTAGTCTCACTATTAAGCATAGATAACAATGTCAGGACCCAAGCCGAAGTAAGTGTTTTCTCTTAATTTTCAAAGCTTATTTTGATCCCAATTGGGCTGTAGTGATAGTGAGTCTGCTCCTTACCTTGTCAGTTCTAAACAAAGGTTGCCCACGTTTTCGTGGTAATATTATTTATTTTTGTTAGAATTACTTAATTTGCTGCGGCAGGCACATTTGTCCCTCAATTTTAACGCTCCGTAATCAACAATGTGAAGTTAATCCACGAGGATGAAAGTCTCAAGAATTTTTAGGTTATCTATGGCTCCCATTTCCTGATACAGTTGTACACAACACATGCAATAACTTTTGAGGGGTGTAAGCTCTCTTCCCAAGCTTTTGGTAGATGTCTTCCCCCTAATTCCACAGGGCAGGTAATGGAGATGTCTTTAAATTGCAAGGAGAACTATTGGGCGTGTGATTCCATCTTCGTGCACCCTTATCAACATGCGCAAGTCTCTCTCAAGTTTAGTGTGTTCAGATCCCACCTTCGTGGTCTGCCTTAGTTGAAAATCCACAGTATCTGCTGTGGTTTCACTTCTAATCTGAAGAGCGTCATTTTCTAGCTCATTTCCCAACAAGATCTGTAGTATATTTTAAGAAGTCTAGGGGTGTTTCATCACTCCGAGCTGACATTCACATCTGAAGGTTCAGATTTTCTTTGTTACTTACCTTTGAAAGAATGGGTCGTGACAATTGGTATGACTCAGTGTTAAGGATTTTCTCTGTCAATTGTTGTAACCCAAAGTTTTTCCTTTTGCTCAGGAAACGTATCATGCCATTCCTCTCGAGAACAGAGTTATGTTTTTACTCAATGCAATTCCCGATGCCAGTCTTCAGCAAGAAGAAAGGATGATGGCAGCTGTTTTACTCAGGAGAGTGTTTTCGAATGACTTCAGTGAAATGTACCCAACAGTAAGTTTGGTTTAAATTTATTTCCCCCTAAGTATATTAGTCTTTTTAAATTATCATACAGAACATCTTTTTCTCAATGAATCAATCACGTTATTCCTTTGTAGAGAAAACCTTAACTAATGAGGAAAATATTTTTTTTGCTCTCCTTAGAGGTGTCGTCAACTAAGTTGACGGTTGCTTACTTTCGGTTTGCAGGCGTTTTCGCGTCACTACTATCCACATGAAAACATCTGGCTCTCTCAGAAGCAAGAACACAAGCTTAGATAAGTTTTTATAATACCTTCAAACCTTGTAACACTTTAATTTTTAGCCACACAGAAATCACAACCACAACAAAGTCGCAAATCATAATTGATAAGTAAGTAGTCTTTTTACGATACGATCATGAGACTGATGTTTTCAATGTGGATAGTAGTGAACGCCCCTTTGTTCAGAGGCCCAAATTCGTCGTTGGTGCTTGCAAACCAAAAGTAAAAAACCGTCAACTTAGCTGATGACACCTCTAATTAATGATGAAAATATTATTTTTGCTCTCCTCATACAACTATCACAACATCGAATAAAAAGAGTCTTTCAAAGGTTACTTGAACATACATACATATCCGCTAGGTTGTGGTGTTTCAACATCTCCACTCCTATTTTACTTTTGAATAAGAAATCAAACCAACTTTTTGACTCGAAATTTTCGCAGAATACTCTTCAAGTATAGAAAAACAATCGCTGAAGTTTTCAAGGAATGATTTCCAGTAGTTAAGTATGTAGAAAATTAATTATCACAAGCAGTTTGAAATGCTGCAAACGGAGATGCGCATTTCTGCTGTTTCATTATGATGTGCAGATGAAGTTTACATACTTAGGGAGTTCAGAAGAAATACCTATCGATGGTGTAAGTCGGCAATCACATAACTCGGTTTGCGATGTTGCTGTCCTAGTATCATACTTAATTTTTTAACAGAGAACTGCTCAACAGCAATTCTTTAAAACTCCTGTTATTTTCCTTCTCTACTTTAGGAAAATTCTGCATAAACTTCAAGGAATGTTGTCAATTTGTTCTCCTTTAAGAAAATAACACAGAGGTGGAGATTCTCAGACACCGTAAACGAGATATGTGATTGCCGGCTCACTCTGTCATCATGGAGAACAATCTTAGATATGAGCTTTCAATGGTGAAGAACTTCCTCTTCTCGTTAAAGTATTCTTGTTGTCTCACTTATTTTGAAAAATCCAAATTTTTACCAATTGTGCCAGTCAGTGGAAAACTTTTTTAATGTATCTAGGGTTTCCGGCAGTCTGGAAAGTCAGGAAATTCTTAGGGAAAGTCAGGTAAATTAGCAAAAGGCATTTAGCAGAAGTCAGAGTAAGTAAGAGGATAAATCTTAGTGAAAGTCTTGTTTAAACGTCAGGGAAAGTCAAGGAATTTAAAAATTTCGGAGTCAGCAAAAAGTAAAGGAAGCCAGGGAATCACAAAATGACAAAATCCTAGAAACCTTGCATATTTGTTGCAACGTGTATTTACAATGTCCTAACTTATTGATTATGTTTCTTCCAGCTTTCACCAGAAAATCAACAGCAGTTAAAAGATAGTGTGTTGATGCTGGTTCAAAATGAAGAAAGTGAGGCTATAAGCAAAAAACTGTGTGATGTAGTCGCTGAACTAGCACGAAATTTAGTTGACGATGACGGTAACAACGGCTGGCAGGAATTCTTACTTTTCCTGTTTTCTGCAGCCAATTCAGAGTCTCCTCGAATGAAAGAAGCTGCTCTTAGAATATTTGCGTAAGTATTTTTTTCTCCGTCATCCTAATTATTTTATAAATTCTGCCGCATCTTGTATGGGTCAAATAACATCACTTAGGTACATGTCACGCTTAAATGGTTCTCCAGTACCTAAAAATTTTGAATAAATTATCTTGCGAACAAAAATTCTTAGCACTACCTACTTGAGAATTCGCAAAATTGGTTTTTATTTTTCTTTAGTGCTGAAGTAAAAGATGTTATAATCTATGTCCCCGGACTTTCTGTCAGATTAGAAAGAAATAAATTTCTGCTCCCTCTTGTTCATTTCAAGACCACTTATTATTTTCTATTCAGCCTGTAACTCTGAATTTTTAATATTTTTCAGGCAAGTACCAGGAGTGTTCGGTAATCAGCAACCCAATTACCTTGATGTGATTAAGCAGATGTTAAACCAGTCACTTTGCGATGGAACATATGAAGTTCGGTTCCAAGCTGTGAGAGCCCTCTGTGCGTTTATCAGCTTGCATGAAGAAGCACAAGACATTCAAAAGTTTTTCACAGACCTTCTGCCAGTTGCAATTCATGTAATTGCAGAGTCATGTGAGAAAGAAGATGACGACACACTGCTTAAAGCTTTAGTTGATCTTTGCGAGACTGTTCCCAAATTCTTGCGTCCGCAGTTAGAAGCTGTGGTGCAATTGTGCATCAAAGTGAGTTTTTTATGCCCTATTCTTCATTTTCACCAATGAATACACAGCAACTCGCTCAATCACCAATCACCAATAGGTCAGTTGCGCTGGTCACAAAATCGTGTTTTGATGCTTGCTTCTTGTAGATTGGCTAAGAATAATGAGATCTTTCCAAACCCCAACTTTCTACGTTCAATAATAACCGAGATATAGGTCTATGAAAAGTCGGGTTCTTGACATCATCCACCGCGGAGGTGACACCCTTGGTTTCTTCCACCTTTCTTTCATCAGTCAGTGTGATGCACATCTGCACTGGTTGTTCAATGTGAAACTCAGATGAAAGCAAGGCGGAAGAAACTGAGGGTGTCATCTCTGCGGTGGATGACGTCTAGAACCGGACTTTTCAAAGCGCAATATCTCTGTTAATTTTGAACGCAGAAAGTTGCTACTCGGACAGATCTTATTATCTTTAGGTAATCTATAAGAATCAAGCATCAAAACTTGATTTTGTGACCAGCGCAACTGACCCATTGCTGAAGCGTACTTCATTATGTGGCATGTTAGCCATTATTTACAGAATTTGAAAATGATGTAGTTCTAAATCTTTCTAAATCAATGGCTTCAGCTAATATAACTTATCGCTACAATGTCTAATTTTGCGGTTGAAGCTTCATCAATTTATTTAATGATGATGAAAATTTCTTTCATCACACCTGATCTTCTACACGATTATTTAAGTTGTAAGGGTTTTTAGGCAAGAATAATGTTAAATTGAAATTTGTGAATTTGTTCCAATGGGCCTGTTGCAAACTTTTGCTAGAGCAAAAATAAGCGTTGTTCCTTGTATATAATGTTTTAAAAATCATGATGAGCGAATTGGCAAACTCTGAAATGCACTCCTAACTTTAGAATCTGCATAAGAAATTTACATTTTTTTAAGCTTCCCGCTTCAAGAAGGATACTATGGCACAGGTGAACTTTTCGATAGAGGAGTCATTCCATTCAATCGCTGCTCAACATAGTTGACGCTTCCGTGCGCAAGTTTAGGAGAGTTTGAGGTCAATCAAGGCAGAAATCTATCAAAGCGAGAGATTTTGAATGTAAACAGGCCGATTGTTATCAGGTGGTTAGAACCATCGTCCTGTCACATGTGTTTTGGCAGATTGGTGAAGGCTTCGTTGAATATTGCATAGTATCCTTGTGAGCAGGGGTTGGATGAAATGACTCCTCTAACGAAATGTTCACCCATGCCAATGTATCGTTTTTGAGGCAGGAAGCTCGAATATAAGCAAATTTCTTATGCAAATTGTAAATTAAGGAGTGTATTTCAGACCTTGCCGATGCGCTCACAGTGATTTTTGAGACATTTTCTATATGTAACAATTCTTATTTTTGCACTAGCAAAAGTTTTCTAGAGACCCATTTTATATTTAAATTACTTGGAAATTCGAAATATGTAATATAATATTAATAGTGAACAGGACCTCAGAATATATTTTTACTGGCTCTTTAGAATTCCATCCTTGAACGAATATTTTTGCTTCACCTCCTGGTGTAAGATCAGGGTGTCTAGCATCAGGAAAAACTGGAAAATATCAGGAATTTTGGCTGATCAGGAAAATATCAAGAAAATCGGACATTTTATCAGGAATTTTTCTTGCGCGAATGTCCTCAACGGAGAAAGTCTTACTGCTTTTTGCCCACCTGCTAAGAGTCGAGAAAAATCAGGAATTTTCGAAATGAAAAAATCAGGAATTTTTTATAAAACATCAAGAAAAATCAGGAAAATATCAGGATTTTTCAAAATTAGAAAATGCTACACACCCTGAAGATGTTTACAAAACATTAACCTAAAAGAAAATCGAATTTTCTATTTTTTATTTATTCATTACGCATCCATTGATTTTTTTCTTGCAGGTGTTCTCCGATGAAAACAGGCAAAATGAGTTTAGACACTTGGCTCTGGAAATATTTGTAACTCTAAGCGAAACAGCTCCAGCCATGATGCGGAAAGTAGGAGGCAAGTACATTCCCATTGTTGTGCCACAAATTTTGAAAATGATGACTGAAATTGAGGATGATGCCGAGTGGACTCTTCAAGATGAGATAGCTGATGATGATGCTGATGAGTAAGTAGTCATCGGTTTTTTGAATATTTTATCTAGCTCACAGTTGTTATTAACATTGAAATGAGATAGTTTAAAAGCACAATTTGATTAGTAATCTACCTGTGTGATTTTGAACACAACACGATTGTGCCTCAGAAAGATTCATTTACATTACCGATTACTCACCTCCAAAAAGTGAATTTAGACGCCCATGACTGCATTTAATCACGTCCCAGAAATTGGACTTTATGCTCTCACACAATGGTTTTGCTTGTTAATTTTATCCAATATCTCAACCTATATGCTCAAATTTTCATTTTTTTGACTGAGCATGGTGTCCAACGGCTTAAGGGTCCTTTAAACTATGAGAATCAGAAATAATCAAAAGTCAAAGATCCTAAATGCTTTGCTTACATTAATACCCATCTCACTAGAATTATGTCTTGGTAAAGTGGACGTAGAGTTCAATTTATTGGATGAAATGAGCAGGAAAATGTACAATGTGTAAAAGCGTAGCACACAATCTTTTATGCGATGCTCTATTACGAGTAGATTTTGTAATCTTGCGACAAAAACGGCAGTGAAATTTCTAAACTTTCATCAGTAATTATCTTTGATTTTCTCTTAAAATTCCAAGTAAGAAGTTGCTGAAATTATAATTATATGTTGATTAATTATTAATTGTGTTAATAGGAATAATGTGATTGCTGAATCAGCGTTAGACCGATTAGCTTGTGGACTTGGCGGTAAAACAATGCTTCCTCACATTGTAGAGAATATCCCTACCATGCTGGCAAATCCAGACTGGAAGTACAGGTGAGACTTTACAAATATTTTGTCGCCAAAGAAACAGTTGCATCTGAGCACCGGTCCAAACATCTTGTAGTGAAGTTTCCAGGATCATTAATCGTTTTGGACCTGAATCAGATGCCAGGTAACTCCTCTGATCGGTGCCGCGGTTGGGGGATTCCATTTTATCTAGATAAGCTCAGCTGTTTGTTTCACATCACTGAGTATAACAACTGTCAAAATTTACTTTTGAGCAGCATTGTTTCTCAGGCTATGATGTAGCAGCTAAATGGCTGATTATATTTGAAACTTGACAATAGACTATAAATAATTGACTGCTAATGTGGTACTCTACAGTGGTATGGTTAGTTATACTTTCAGGTCTTTTTACCTTGGGGGAAAAACTAATGAGTCATTAAAAATACAAACATTAAGTATTTCATCATTCAAGTTTTTTTTCCTCCTTCATTCATACTTTGTTGTATTATTTTTGCTTTTTTTAACATCTTTGAGAAAAGAAGAATTCTTATCAATATTATTGACTAATTATTAGTGAAATGTAAGTGACATTTGTCTCCTTCCTTTCTATCTATATATTTATCTGGTTTTTCAAAGAACGTAATTTTTTTTTTTTTTTTTTTTTTGAGTAAAAAATCCTCAAATACATGGAAGGAATCAAACATTTTAACACAACCTCAGAAATTCAAATTGAATTAAAAAATAAATAGGCATAAAGCCTAACTTTTCCTGGTATCAGATTATTTTCAAACTTTACAAAATGCGTTGCTTGCGTTCGTCCCAAGGAGGAGATTCACTGTTTGGTATCGCCATGAAAGCCAACGTTTCATGTCTTCTAAGCCATCAGTAGAGGTCTTAAAATGCCAGAGGAGCCCCTGTTTTTAAATATTGTCAGTACTTCAGCACCAGAATTTTGCATCTGGCAACATCTGGCGATGCCAGTAAAAGTGCCAGGATAGACTTTGGTGCATCTTCTTGTAAGTACACTCAAGGAGGCTTTTTTTTCCACTGTTACTCTGGCCTTAGGCTGCAAAGAAATTGACATATCTGACGTCAGCTGCATTATACCTTTGGTAAATTTTTTGTGTCCGTTCACTTTTTCCTTACATTCTCACCATAGATACTTTCATTCTCTTCTGCAGACACGCCGCTCTAATGGCAGTTTCAGCTGTAGGAGAAGGATGTTACAAACAAATGGAAGCCATGTTACCACAAATTATGGAAGGCATTTTGCGGTTCCTGGCAGATGAGCATCCACGAGTGCGCTATGCAGCATGCAATGCAATTGGTCAAATGTCAACTGATTTTGGACCCAATTTTCAAAAGAAATTCCACGACAAGGTCATTCCAGCTCTTCTCATGATCTTAGATGATGAGGATAATCCTAGAGTGCAAGCACATGGAGGTAATTAGTCTTAATCTTACCTCTCAACTTATTATTGCCTGGAGTTTGGATTCACAGACAGTTGGTCTACGAAAGAATGGTCTACTCAAAAAATGTCTAACTTTTGTGGTCTACGGTGAAAATGTCTACAAATAAGAGGTCTACTTTTAGAATGCCTGACTAAATAGAAGTCTACATGAAACGCGTCTATAAAAAGAAAATGAATACACGATGTTTCTCCCCCATAGATACAACAGTCATTTCTCCAACATTTTAACTCTCAATGGGGGAAAATCGGCAAGAGTGTACGAAATTCCTGCGTTTTCTCCGTGTCAGTTTGCATAGCAATGCGAATCTTGAAAAGATTTTTGGTGTCAAAAGATAAGTACTTAAAGACACTTTAAAGGTCCGAGTTGAAACAGATGCGTTAACTTCAATGACCTCTATGAAAGTTGATTGTCTTAAATAGAAATTGAGCATTTTCGAGTTACCGACTTGGTGTGTTTTTTTCTCACTGATTCTATTGTCATTTTGAATACTTAATTTTTCTCCATGACTCACTTTCATTTTAACATCAAGGGAACTAAATCCAGCTGAATCTTACTACAAATTATCAACTCAAAAACCCATTAATTTTCATGGCAACATTTTCTTTTCTTTTTTTTTTAGGTGCTGCTCTTGTAAATTTCTGCGAAGAGTGCCCAAAAAGAATCCTAGCCGATTATCTGGATGGAGTGATGGCCAAACTAGAGTCTGTGCTCCAAGCTAAACTGAAGCAACTGATGGAAAAAGGAACCAAACTAGTATTGGAGCAGGTAGTCACAACAATTGCCTCTGTAGCAGATGCGGCCGAGGACCAGTTTGTTAAGTTTTACGATAGGTTGATGCCGTGTCTCAAGTACATCATTCAAAATGCCAACTCGCCAGAATTGAGAATGTTGAGAGGTATGCCTTACTCCTCACTCAACTTTTTTTTTTAAATTTGAATGTTTAATCTAATCAATTGCATATCATGAAGTTTCTTAATCTTTAAAAAAAATTGACCGTTATTATTTTAGAATAGTTGAAGATTTTCTGCGAAAAAATGCTCATTAGTGTTCCAGTGGGCATGATTGTATGAATAAACTCATTCAACCCATCACCAACCTAAACAAGAAAGTCGTTACTCAATTATTCGCAACCCAGTTTCTTGCACAACATAATTATTTATGATGAAGCAAATTAGAAAATGTATCCTTGCTATTGTTCAGCCTTTATTCTTAAAGATATGAACTCAAATTATGGATAAAAATTGCAAGGATAATGGGGTTGTTGCATGGGTGAGGGATTTGAGAATAAAATATATGTAGCTGTAAACTTTTTCGCCCCAAAAACGATGGTAACTTTAAAAAAGTAAAAAATTGAGTCCCAAAGCCCGGAAAAGCTCACTAAAGTTCCATCAAATTCAAGTCGGAAATGAAAAATCTTCATTGCCTTCTATACAGTTGGTCAAACTGCGCGTCACACTGCCTTGGAGTCTTTTCTTGCTGCCATTACCTACATCTAGACGGCGTAGTTATCTTGTGGAGGTTAGGTTAGGTTAGCTCATCTCAAGCTTTTATGGGCTACGATGATAAGTGGATGCAGCCAGAAGAACCTGAGCAGGGCCGGTTGCTGCGCACCACCCTCCGTTCATTACCCACCGGCTCCTTCGTTCCGTGAAGAAAACAGGAAAGGAGTGGTTTTTAACTCACTTGTAATTTAAAAATAGTGGTAAAGAGCCAAAAACTAAGTCTGAAAATGATTCACCCTATCTTTAGGTATCTATCAAGATGAGAAAGTGGGTTTAATCAGATAACTGAATTTTTCCTGATTTTTTTAAAAAAAACTCATATTAGCACGCAGTTTAGGTAGCAAAAACCCGTGGTGGTGCGTTGTGACTTCACAGCAACGTGATTTTGAGGCGCACTAAGGAACCCCGTTTCAAACAGTTTATGACTTTTCCGGGCGTTTTCTCCATGTTCCAATCATCAGAAAGTTTTTCAATGAATACCTTAACAATCAGCACACCTCCAACTTGTAGAGACTGAATTAAAAAAATCATGCAACAACCCCATTGCATGCAGTTTGTGGTGAGAAATATTTTGTGCAGATTAAAACTAAATCACCTGTTGGCCTGTTGTACAGGAATGGCAATTACCTATGCTCCCACAATCAATGCTAGAGAAAGAATTTGCTTCTTCTCATGATGTAGATGGTATCTAATAATCAGCATTGAAAAAATTCTTCCCCCAATTTTTGAGACTCCATGGATGAAAAATCCTTGATGCATCCTAATTGGTGATTTTGGTATCAAAATTTAGACTAAAATTCGATGAAATTATTTGACTTCAATTCTTTATTTTCAACTTATCCAATTTTATATTGAATCTGTATAATTGAAGACATATTTGGTTTTTGCTCCTCGATAGCAAATGCCGGAACATACTAATATCTTTTTGGACACAAAGAAGTGAATTCCGTCATCCTAAGCAAATCATTGTGTTTGACTGGTACAGCTCAGGCACCAACTACTTGACCAAAAAATATCAGGAATAAATAGATCAATCCAATCTACTTTTAATCTTCCAGGAAAGGCAATTGAGTGTGTGAGTTTAATTGGATTTGCTGTCGGAGCTGATAAGTTCGTCCCAGATTGCAGTGATATTATGGACATGCTTTTGAAAACACAATCCGAAAGTAATGAGCCTCTGCCGGATGATGACCCACAGACATCCTACCTCATTTCAGCATGGGCGAGAATCTGCAAAATTCTTGGTAAAATCACTGTATTATTTTTAACTAGCAGTCAACCCGCGCTTCGCGCGGCGATATTGCAGGAAACAAATCGGAATATCTCATAATATATGCGTATAACTTTTAATTCACTGATTTTATTTGGATTTAATCATAATCAACATCTGAGAAAAGACCGTATCTAATATCAAATTCAGTTTTTTCATCGCCCACAAAGTAAATTTGAAGGAAAGCAGGGGTACTGTTTAACGGAAATAAACTACCTATTTGGTGATAAACTTGGCCCTGAACTTTAAAAGTGGGCATAAAATTACCTTCATTTATTAGGTTAGCTCCGAAAGAAGTCATTTGGAAACATGAATTATACTTACGCATAGAATCAAGAAAATGCTCAGAACTTTCATGTTTACCGTTCATTAACGAAAAAAGGGGTTCGGGAACTTTTGCTAAAGGAGGCAAAATCACTCTACCGGACTTGCAACACATTCCTTCAGATTCACCTTTCCACTTTAAAGCATGACACCATTTGCAAATATAATTCATTTTTCCAATAGAGATAAAATTATTCAACTCATAATCTATATTTTTGTCATAAGCAAACCCACAATAATTATTTTTACAGCTTACAGATTTTCTTCTCATATTAGATTTTTTAACGGATTCTGTAATTTTCTCAACATTATTTTTTAAATAACTTTCTATAATTTCCTTGCGTTTATCAGGATTCTTCTGAATGTAATTTCTAACAGCCTCTCTAATAACTTGAGGATTTTTACGATAATATTTTTTGCAAGCAGCTTTATTGACTTGCGGGTTTTCGCGTGAATACTTTTTAACCGCATCTCTATTAACCTGAGGATTTTTATTTCTGTATTTAGAATAAGTTTTCCTTTGACTTTCAATATTTAATTTTCTAAAATTGGCGGCGCGATTTCTATTTTTAAATTTATCAAGTCTGCTATTCATTCGAATCCGACGTTTCTTTTTTAATTTCGGTAATGCCTGAAAATCAGATAACATAGGAATTGACTCTGCTGTACTTACAATCATTGATAAATCATCAAATGAAGGAGGGGTTACTGTACTGTTAATTACATCTAAGACATCAAAATGGCCGCTTAATAGGACCACTGAATAAAAATCTTGCTAATTTGGAATTCGAAGAATCAGAAATGTTATAGATTAATATACCTGCAGTAGATTATATTTCAAAATTGTAAAAATATAATTCCTTTGCAGCAACTATCTCGCTATAAGCACCGTATGTTGATGAAAAAGACATTTCCAAAATATACTCATCATTTGTAGAATAAAAATGGTGGTCTTCTCCCTCGGTTAAGAACTGGAATATTTCCCAATTACTTGCAACGTATCGAACTATTTCACTGCGAACTTTATGACGAAGGCTGTTGGTGCCATATATTACGTAAGATATAGAGCTGAACAAACAACCACCATCTTTAGGTTGATGAATGATTTTACAGTTAAATTGAGTTCCACTGGAATTAATAGTTAGGAAATCCATGATTACACTAGAAAACCACTATTAAAACAACAACTACAGTTAATTTGAGTTCCACTGGAATTAATAGTTAAAAAATCCATGATTACACAACAAACCCACTATGAAAGCAACAACTAAAGTTCAGAAATAGTTAGGAAATCCATGATTACACTAGAAAACCACTATTAAAACGACAACTACAGTTAAATTGAGTTCCACTGGAATTAATAGTTAAAAAATCCATGATTACACAAGAAACCCACTATGAAAGCAACAACTAAAGTTCAGATAATGGAAAATAACTGACCCAAAACATTCAAAAAGATGTTATTTTCATCAGCTGCTCAGTTTAAAAAATAAAAAAAACAAAGTAAAAACGTTCGTGGGGAGGGGAGAAGGCGAATATATATACGAGCAGTAAGCGTAGAAGAATAACTATGGAAACATAAGAAAGCTCAAAAACTTTCATCAGCTGATAATCGGATGAAACATAGAAAGGCCCGCAGTGTTGCCGTTCATAGCATAGAACAGCGGAAATCAAGGGCCAATTACGCGCGCAGCTAAAGGTATCCGACGGCCACCCGGCAACGGCCGCGTCAGGAAATATACCCGCACTGCTACGTCTCTCTTTCCAACACACACGGGCTTACGGGAATATCCGCGACTTCCGACCGCGGTTACTCGCGAACGGACGGGCGGATCGCGAAAAGAAAGCTTATTGCACCCCTCGGGGACAGTACCCGTCGAACGGCTAAGTTCGCACCGATTCCGACCGGTGGGAGCGGGGAGGCGAGCGTGATGGATCAGTGTATGATCAATGTATTTCCCTTTTATTAGTTAGATTATATTTTTTCTGTCGAAAAATGGAATAAATATCTTTTCAATGTTCCGTATAATTTTAACTGTTCAGATGGAAGAAACCTCATTCCACAGGGGCAAATCTTTAAAAAAAAAGTGACTTTTCTCAATTTTGGTCAAAAAATAGGAACTAAGGTTATCGACCAAAAATGCTTTCTATCATTCCAATAATTAGTTGTCAACGACTGTGAATACATCTGATAAAATCAAGTCTTGCTCTTCTGTGCTCTTCCATGTTCCTCAGTGATGTTATTTTATGCTTTTGCAGGCAAAAGATTTGAGCAGTACCTACCGTTAGTCATTGGGCCAGTCATGAAGACTGCTGGTATAAAACCTGAAGTCGTACTTGTGGATAACGAAGCTATGGAAGATATTGGCAATGATGTTGACTGGCAGTTCGTCTCCCTCGGTGAACAAAAAAACTTTGGTATCCGAACAGCTGGTAAGAGTTTTAAACACCTCTTTGTCTTTTCTCATCACCTCTTTCAAGGTTTTAGAATTGTATTAAAATGTGCTTTTGCCCTCCTTTTAATAGGGTAAACATCTTTTTAGTATGTTTTGAAAAAATTTAGAAATGTTTTTAAAGTCTGCCACGTCTTAGTTAAAGATGGCAAATTGTCTCAACTTTTGATTACAAGGTCAGTCTGGGAAGTATCAAGCCTCTGCTTATATCTGGGAATCTACTATAGATAAGAAGTTGGGACTTGGTTTGGACTTTTTCCATATCCTCCTGAAAGCACACACGCAATTGCAATGACATGCATTTAATCAGTTGACAGCAAGCACCTGATTAAACAGTGTGTATCAAGTGTTAGCATAGCATTTTGTTTTCCGCGAAAAAGCTGGATTTGGGTGTTTTTAAATCAGATTGAATGTTCGATTAGTGCAAAATAAGTTTTTAGGGGTTCTCAAGGGCCGTAGAGTTCAGATTTGACAGATTTCTTCAAAAATTTCACTATTTTAAAATTACAGCTCCATACAGGCCCACTGAGCGGCTGGTTGGCGCTCGGTGGGCCTCTAAAGTAGCGCTACAGAGCTGTAATTTTAAAAAAGTGAGTTTCTTGGAAGTATCTGTAATTTCTGAACTCAGCGACCCTCAAGAACCCCTTAAAACTTATTTTGCACGGTTTTAACATTCCACCTGATTTAATAACACCCGAATTATTTAACTGAAAAATGTGATTTCGGGATTTTGACCTTGGGAATCTCAAAGTATGCAATGTTTGACGATTTTTCGTTCAAACCGGACCTCAATATCTTTCTTTGTTCAAAAACTATCGAGGTTCACAGGTTTTGAATTCCACCCCCCCCCCCTT